AGGGAAGGGCAAAAGCAAGGAGAATGCCCAATGAAAAGCTATGTTGAGGGCAAGGGCAAGGAGAGCACAGCAGGGAAGGCCAACAGCAAAGGCCAAGAGAACACAGCAAGAAACACCATAACAGAAGGCCAAGAGAACACGGCAGGAAGTGCCAAAACAGGAGGCCGAGAGGACGTGGCAGGGAATGCCAGAACAAGCAGCCAAAGAGAACATGGCAAAGGAAGCCAATGCAGAAGGCCAAGAGAAGGTGGCTAGGTAGGCCAAAACAGGAGGCCAACGAGAATGGCACAGGGAAGGGAATGCCAAAACAGCACGCCGAGGAGGACATCACAGGGAACACCCCGGCAATGGCTATGAGATAGCAGGAAGTGCCGAGGACAATGGCCAAGAGAACATGGCAAGAAATACCAAAACAGAAGGCTAAGAGAACACAGCAGTAAATGCCTAGGCAAGGGCTAAGAGAACATGGCAGGAAGTGCCAAAACAGGAAGCCAAGAGAACATGGCAAGAAACACCAAAACCAAACGCTGAAGAGAATGCAGCAAAGACAGCCAAGTACAATAGCCAAGACAATGGAGCACAGAACACCAAAACAGGACAGCAAGAAAATGCAGTAGAGAATGTCTAGGGTAAAGAGAAGGAGAACACTGCAGTGAAAGGCCAGAGACAAATAGAATGTGGGAAGAAAAGGACAGGCAGCCTTTGGGCTACTCTAAAATGCAATAAAGAGCTCCGGGAGTGCTATGTTGTGCCACGCTACATAATGGGTAAACATTGGTGTGCGTACGCTGCCCTTACCTGCTGGACAGACAATTACCAGTCAGCAAAGTGGGATTCCGGGGCATTCCAGGAAATCCAGCTTTCCATTCCTAGCTGTTCTCATGAAGATGCACACATCTCTCCATGCAGTCGTTACAGCACCTGGGAGAACCACAGCTCCCATTAATGCTGCACAGTAATGAAAGCACTACCCTGCATACATTGGGGGGCTGCACTCTGTGCATGATGCTGCTCACCAGCAGCTCAGTAGCTGAGAACAACTAACAAGGAAAAGACTCAAATACCCAACAACACTTTTGCTTCCATCTTCTCTGATAACTGCTCATTATACCCAGCCCTCACCTTTGGCTGTGCAGGTGGGGATTGAGAAAGCAATGCCACCCCCACCAACAACCTCCCTGCCCCACCCTGTGAGTCAAGATAGGCTTTGCGATCACCTGAGGAACCTGAACATCCAGGAGTCTATGGGTCCCAATGAGATGCATCCCAGAGTCACAAGGGTATTCGCTGATGCAGTCAACAAGCCATTCTCACTGGTATTTGAGAAGTTGTGGCAGTCAGGTGAAATCCCTGGTGAGTAGAAAAAAGACAACAGCACACCTGTTATTACGGATAAAAATGATGACCCTAGGAACTACCAACATGTCAGACTCACCTCTGTGCTGTGAATGATCGCAGAGCAGATCCTCCTGGAAGTGACTCTAAAGCACATGTTCCAGTGCATCACTACCCTGAGTGAAAAACACCGCACCACAAACACACACACACACACCGCACCACAAACTACACCTCCCTCTTTCTGCTGGCCGTTCTTCTTTTAATGCAGCCCAGGATATAGTTGTCTTTCCAGGATGCCCACGTCCAGCTTCTTATCCACTGGGATCCACAAGTCCTTCTCTGCAGGGCTGCTCTCAAGGGGTTCTTTGCCAAGTTTGTATAAACATCCGGGATTGCCTCTTCATCAGTGACATTGACAGTGGGGGTCAAGTGCACCCTAATGACACCGAGCTGTGGTGTGCAGTGACACACCAGAGGGACGGGACACCATCCAGAGGGACCTCAACAGGCTGAGCAGTGGGCACTCAACAATGTACCTTCCCAGCCCAGAAAGCCAACTGTATGCTGGGTTCCATCCAAAGATGCGTGGTCAGTAGGCGAAGGGAAATGATCCTGCCCCTCTGCTCTACGCTGGTGAGGCCTCACCTGGAGTCCTGTGTCTGGATTTGGATGGCTGCAGTGCAGGACACAGACATAGAGCTGTCGGAGTACATCCAGAGAATGGCCACAAATATGAACTGAGGGATGGAATGCCTTTCCTATAAAGAGAGAAAACTGGGGCTGTTCAGCCTGGAGAATTGAAGGCTCTGAGGTGACCTGGTAACAGCCTTTCAATACCTAAAGGGAAGAATGAGAAAAAATTTAGGTTAGATACAAAGAAAATCTTGTGAGGGTGGTGACACAGTGGAACAGGTTACCCAGACACATGATGGATGCCCTGTCCCTTCCAAGGTGAGGCTGGGCCAGGCTCTGGGCGACCTGATCTAGCTGTGAATGTTCCTGTTCATTGTGTGGCAGTTGGACTAGATCATTACAGATGGTACCAAGTACTCCAGCTGGGATAATCTGCATGTGTCACAGAGCCTCTCTGGACCGGTCCCAGTATTCAGCAGACCAGGTACCTCACTTCATCGCACTGTTGGGAACCAGAGCTGTAGAGCTATTGAATGGGGGCAGGGGATGGAAGGAAGAGGGATGGGGGTTTGGGTGTCATAGAGATTAGGAAACTAATAGGATCTCCAGACAATTAGGATGGAGATATCTGGGGTGATGCTGAGTACAGTGGTCCAGAAGAGGACAATCCTTGGCCTTCTATAAAGATGAAGTCAGATCAGCTGTTCAAACAGAAAGGACTGTAGGATCCCAAGGTGGTCAGTCACGATGTGCTCTGAGAACAATGCCTTGGGATCCATTACCATTGACACATTTGTAAGGGAGATATGGGAGAGAACCAGACAAAACAGGAACAGAATACCTGTTACCACTATGCTCGAGTGGTGCAGACCATATTATGCTCAGTGAGGATGAAGCAGATGGCCACTACGTTCTGGGAGTGTTCTTCAGGTCCTGGCCGAAGCACCTCACTCTATCATCAGCCGTGTAGCGCAGCAGGCTGGGAGAATAGACCCCATGGAGAAAGGTGAGCCGCCTGCAACCCATTTGATCCCTAAGTGAGCTTCCCACAGCCATCAGAAACCTGCCTCCATACAAGCTAGTGCACAAACATGGGGCTTGGAATGCTCTGTTACCTGCTCAGTAGATCTCAGAGTGCTTA